TAAAAAGCGTTATTTACTAGGTAACTAGGTATATCATTTGTCTTTATACAAGTTTGATATGATTGGTTTCTGCTAAGAGTATTGAACACTGTGACCTGCTTAATTCGTTAGGTAAAATATGTCTAAACTCCTTGAATCGCAGTTGTATGATCATTTTAGTTTCCCATTTACCGCCACTTGGTGTTGAACTTTAAATGGGCCTGTATGAAATGGCAGCTTCGGCTAAGTTCAAATAGTATTCACCTCCACTTCTGCTGGAGCAGCCTTTCAATCCTGGGCACTGGCATTCACCGGCGGACCAATCAAAGTCCAGTCGAGTCCGTTCAGCGGAATCGTTCTTAGACAGCCGACCAATTTGACCTGTACAGGTGTCTATTACTAAGACAAACAGACGGATAGGCGAACGCAGACTGACAGGCAAACAGAGAAAAGCATTCACTTTGTCTCCCCGTCTTTCTCCGCCCGATTCTCCAGGTCCTCCTCCGCCTCCAGTCTCCAGTCTCCAGTCTTCAGTCTTCGGTCGCGATTCTGTTGCCATTCCAGCCTCTGACGAATGGCAAGTTCATTGCTCCTAACCTAATTTTTTAAACATAATCATGAAGTAAATCAGGTTTGGCACATAGATAACAACAACTGCTCAAGAACGAAGACTGGAGACTGAAGACTGGAGCTGAGACTCCGCCAAGTGGCGGGCTATCAATGAGTCTACGTCTCTCCATCTCTAATTCTATCTCCATTTCCATCTGAGTGTGTGTGCGTGGTGAGAGCTTTTACCGCAAAATTCGCGCGTGTGTTTAACACCTTTCCAGCCCCTAACATCGTAGAAAAGAAGCCAAGAACTGCACCGTAAAATCTGGATCAGTTGGACACACTATATTTTGGAATATATTTTGGCATATGGAATGTTACAAAGTAACGTAATTTGGCTTTATTTAAGTATATTACAATATCATTGGTAGAAAAGGATTGTAAATATAATTGGGAATACAGAGGTTGTTGCTTTCTCTCAGTGCACTTGTTGGCCACCATTTGGCTGCTGTGGAGACTGAGGAACAGTTAAAAAGGCGAACTTTAGTTGGCGTATTCTGGTGTTCTATTGGCGTGGGCCCGGAGTCAGGTTCTCACATCAGCAAGAGCAATAGCAGTTGAAATAGCAACAGAAGCAGCTGCAACATTAACAGCAGCAGTTGAACTACTTACCCACTGGGAAGGCCAAAAAAAGTGTTTTTTTTTTTGCCAACAGAGCCGTAATTGATGGCAAGATCTGAGATTGTTATTGCTGGTAGCAGCTGACAACAAGTGGCAAACTGAGGCGAACTCCTTAATTTGTTGAGTGACCAAGCAAACAAACCGACCAAAACACCAAACAAACAGACAATCAGAGGTCTTTACGAGATTTGGGTTAAGATTGGTTGGGGACTTGAGTCCTTCTGGGACTTGTGATTGATTGTTGAATATTTTCATTAAACCTTAAAAAACATTCATTGAAGGGAATGATGATAAGACGGATAAAAGGTCTTATACTGATTTCTTCTCTTAACAGCTGTGTTTAAGTCTTATGCATTCTCACATTAAAAGTTAAAAATAAATGACAGCCAATGACCTTCATTATTTCCACTCTGACTAAAGCATAATTGCCAACAATTAGAAGAAATTAATTGCCAACAAAAAGTCCCGCGTCTTGAAATGCAAATCGAATTGAGTTGCGCAACCGCAGCTCAGTGCCCAATTATACTTAACTACCTTAGCCTTTTTTCCACAATTTCTGCACCGCCATTGCGTGAAGATTGAATACAATAAATTAACTAGTTTTTGATGTTGTGTCATGCAAAATAATTTTCGAATTATTATGCCTTGATCCCGGTAATCAATCAAAGCACCCGAAAAACAAAAGACTCAGGCGACGAACTCGAAACGGGCCAAAGAGAAGTATGCAAAACAAAAATCGGGAAAGGAGGCAAGTGAAGAATTTCTTTTACTGGCCAAAAAATAAAGCAAAACCAATAACCAATGTAATAAATAATGAATACTTATACTTGTATGTATGTTGCTACCACTGGTAACTTTCCTGGGCCTTTTCATTTCAGCCATCATTTATTTGTTGAAGTGCGGCCGGCAGCTTCTTTGGCTTGGATGGTGCTGAAACTGGTGGCCAATGAACTCCAGCAATGAAAACGAAATGTTTAAAAAACGAAAACAACAAGAACACAATGCGGCCACGAAGAAGAACCAAAGAACGCGACAGAGCCCGAAACAGAAACCGAAAGATACAAAAATTGTTGTTCCTTTTCCCCCTTTTATTTTTTGGTAAGAAGTCAATGAACCTGGCCGACTGCGTGTGTGCGTGAGCTTGAAATAAACTTGGCTAACCAAAAAACGAAATGAAATGTAAAGAAAAGAAATGATTGTTGCGCCCAAAAAATGAGAGGGAAGAGCGGGAACGGCCAGAAAGAGCCATCAAAAGCGGGCAAAACGATGATGAGTTGGCCATGAAGCCGGGCCAACAAGCCAGCTGTAGATGCCGGCTTTTTGGGCCTACGCATATACCCGTATATCTCTCACATTAACTATGTGAGGGTAATCCCCCCTGTACGTATTCATGTTTTTTCGTTTGGGTGTTAAATAATACAACCGCCTAAGACGCACTTGTTGTTGGCCAGAGGCTTTTGCTTTTAGCCCCAACGAGTTCATATTTATTTAAAAGAGAATGCTTCCTCTTCCATTTCTTAACTTTCAATTATGGGATATGCGAGATTTGTTGTTGATCGGGATTCCATTCCCTAAGACGCAATAGTTTTATGCTAAAAATTCCCGAAAATCACTTTTGTTTATTCGATTAGTTGAAAGTTCTTTCCTTTTCTGGACGGCTGAAAATTAATGATGCACGATTAAAAAAAATAAACTATTCCCATTAATACATTGTTATTCAAATTACTTAAATGTTAAAAGCGCGTTCCTTTCCCCAATAAGCTTAGATTACGCATTTAATTACGGCACCTATATATTCCTAGTGAAGTTGATTTTAAGTACTTGTAACTATTTTATGTACATATACAACATAGTATTGATTCTCTGCCGTGATGATGATGATGATTTATTATATATTTCAGCCAACTACATAAAACACTTTTATTTTTTCCCCTAAAAAGTTGTTTCCCTCCATGGTCTGGGCCAAATGAGTGATGATGTATTAACTATTAAAATTATGTTCTTGCTCGTGTGGTGTTTAAGAATTTATTGACCCCATCGCGTCGGTTTTTGCCAAAAGAGTTCTAATGGCTAAACAAAAAAGGTTCTAGTCCCAGTTGCCGCACAGAGTCTTTCGTTTTTTTTTTTGTAAGCCAACTTTGAATGCTTCAATTGTTATTTATAGATAATGATGGCAGCGGCAGCGGCAGCCGAGTGTGGCAGAAACTAATGAGTTAGGCCTTTATTCCCGGCCACAAACGGATGCGGATTTACCTTTTGATTCGCATCCTATCCTCCGTCTTTTGTCTTTCCATCGGGCATAAAGTTCAAGGTTGGCTTGGCCAGCTAAAATATTGATTACTCCACGCAGTCAATTACTCTTAAATTATGTAAATGCCCGTTTTTCAATTAGTTTTCATTAAGTTTATTGTCTTGGCAGACTATAATGGCATGGCAATACCGATTTATGAAATGTTTAGTGTTCTCCCCACTAATTATATATCTATTAACCATCCAGGTTTTGACGATATGCTCACAAAGTTGGTATCTGGTCAAATTGTGGTCTTTGAGTAAGTACTTTACCTTTATTTATAGCGCAATTTTATAGACTTTGATTAGATCATTAATGGTTCAGAGATGGAGTCATGGTATGACTAGCGCTCATGCACAGATATCCATTGATCTTAAGGGGCTTTTAGATGTTCTACTTTTACTTTTAACTTAGCTTTGTTTTAAAAGGCTCGATTAGTTAAAAACAAGCAGGATAGATTTTATTAAATGTAAGGAAATCTATATGAAATTGCAGTTGTTTCACCTTTCAATTGAGAACTCCTGAAAGTATTGCATAAATTTTAGAACCCAAATTAAGTAATCCATCACAATGATGAATAACCTTGCAAAGTGATGCAAAAACGCTCTCACTTCCCTTTTTGCGAGCGCGACATTTGTTTGCCAATTGTTTGCATGCAATTATAGCACCATGAAATTTGATAGCCCAAAAACAGGAACTGAAATAAAACTGAAACAGAAACAGAAACAAATCATGAGCAAACCAATTACATGCCATGCCAAACTTCTGGCCAAGAGAGAGCCCCACCAAACGGGTTAAGAGCATTGAGAACAAGTGGCCCGCGGACGGCATTTTGTTGCGCTTGGCTTGCGCCGATTCTAAACTTGTTAGAAGAGTGGTGTTGTAATTTTACGCTCGCATGCTCAACTTACGCTCGCTGGCCAGCCTGTAGGTACACTGAAAGAAAATCCCTGCTGTCCCCGGTATAAAGCTCCCGCTAAGCTTAGCTTAAACAAGTAATAGTTTCACTCAAAATACCAAGTGGCCGTGGGGTTGCTTTATTCCTATTAAAATGTGTCCATCGGGTCGACGATAGTGCGTTAAAAATATTGTATAATTTTTTAGTTTTTGTTAGAAGAGTTTAGAAACATGTTTGTCGGTGTATTTTGTGCGAAAAAGAGTGGCGGTATGTGCCAGGGTATTGGTGCTGCCAAAGAGATACCTGCGCCCGCGCGCTCACCTTGAATGAAAGTTCTGGCCTGTTGCGCTCAGCGCGCGAGTGGGAAAGAGATGGATAGGGAGAAAGAGAAAGAGAGGGGCAGAGAGCTGAGAGAGCGCCGAGATGTGATCAGTGTAAATGGCACTGCGATCAAGAACCTGAGACACCTGAGCTGCGCCCTACCTGTGTGTTGGTGTGCGCTGGTGTGTTTGAAGAGAAAGAAGAGAGTGCTGGGCGTGCGAGTGTGTGCGTGCGGCCGTGTAATGAAATGCTGAAAAGTCTATCTGTCTGCGCGGTCGCCGCGCTGCCGCTGCTCTGCCTTCAGAAGCCTCTAACGACATCGACATTGAAGTCGCACCGCGACTCATCCGTAGTTTCAGTTTCCCGTAAGCAACAAAACGATCGAGACATGATTTCGTAAGACGCACGCGTTACGCTTCTACTTGCTTCAAGACAGCAAAAAAAGACCACTGATCCACCAGACTTCACAACATACACCCACCCGCAAAAAGTTCTGAAACTAAGAGTATCTAGAAGCTAAAGCCCGCAATTTAAAGTGATTTGTGTCTAACAGCTAAACTGACAAAAAGTGACATACACATAAGACTGCCCCTAGTTATGCAAATGAAATTCCACTAGACCTAAGCAAATTAGTTCAATTCCCCAATCAGTGCACTTGTGTATCAAAAATATAGTTTGCTCAACTATATTCGAAAAGTTTAAGAATAACAAAGTGTCTATTATGATCGAAACTTAAACAGCCAGCAAGCACTTTTCGGCTTCGGATTGGATTTATTGCGTAATGGATTTAAATTTAGCCGCCACATTAGCAGCAACCTCTACAACACGGAACGGATATGCATTTAAACACTGAACATGGTAAGTACTTCTAAATGATTTACCTTATATAAGCTTCGTAACTTTTCCTAGCTGCCACTTTATTGCCCCAAGTCAATTATATAGCTGACAAACTAACGAACGAGCTTGCTAATAGATTTCGACGAAGGGATTTTATGGGTATAAGTTTACAGATTGAAGTCGGCTTAGTAAAGCGGTTCCCGAAAGTTCTGTAAAGAAAGCTTTCTTCGGAAGACTGTCTTCGTTGGGGAAGCTTCAGGAAATTTTGGAGCGGGTTTTTTGGGAAGTTAAGAATGACAGTTGAGAATGAATACGAATTGTTCTTTTCCCATAAATTGCATAATAAATCATACTGGCCACTTCTAATTAAATCTTTTCTTTCAAATCAATTCTTAGGTAATTTCTAATTTCCAGTTAGAACTTTTTTCAAAACTTCTCTTTTTTAATTTATTCTTAGATAATTTTTCTTTATTTCAACTTTTTTATTGACATCTTAATTGCTTGGGTTCTATTCCTGATTTTCAACTTTTTCTTCACTTAATCTCACATTAAATCCACCATAATTTATGACTAGAGTTTAAAATTAACCATCTTATTATTCTGACGACCACGAAGAAGACTTTCACATACAATTTATGCTAATCATAAGTGTTCGATAGAAATGTTATATAATAGTACGTCGCACTGGGTGCGAACACGTTTCCAGCAAAATGCCCAAAAAAGCGGATAAAAAATTGTATGATGATTAATTACAGGCAGACTAGAAAAATGGCATAAGCAGCTAACATTTCTTAGCCGCAAATGGGAGATGGCAGAATGATGGGGACTGGCATTTCATTAGAAAAACCATGTATAAAGCTACCCCAATCTGCTGTCCCTATATAAACAAAATGTATATCTATATATTTTAATAATCACATCAGCAAGAACAACAATGTAGCACTCACAACACAAATAATTAGACAAAACCAGTTTGGGCTTAAACAAATCGCACAAACAACAAAATGGGGGTAAATATACGCCGGCGGAGGGACAGAGAGCAAATTATAGGCTGGATAGCAGATGGAGCGAGATGGCGACAGATAATTGGCGACGTAAGGCAGAAAAACCTTGACTTTGACTTTAAATGACTCGACAACTGATCGCACGCTAACACGCTCCAACAGACGATGATAAAAACAACAACACCAGCAGCAGCGGCAATAAAATATTGTATAAACAAATAAATTGAAATCGAAATCGAAATGAGATGAATGAACACAGCGACAAGCCGAGCGAATGAAATCAAAACTTATTGCGAATTCGTAATGCGATTCAAAATCGCACGATGATCATTTCAATATCAAGGTCATTAGCAGCTGCAGCTGTCCAAGTTCCGTCGATGGCAATGGCCACCTGCTCCCACAGAGCTGTCAATCTCCTCCTGCCTCGATTCCAAATGGCATTCGAAATGAGTTATATCTCTATCCGCCCATATATTGCTGATATAGCTTGGAAACAGCTTGCTTCATTTTGCAATTTAAATGAGCCCCCATCTAAGTTTGTGTATGAAAGCAATTCTTTTGATTCTTCTATGGCTTTCCCCTCTTCTTCACTCGTTGTTGTTGCTGTTTCTTTTTTTGGCACGCATGCCGAGAGTTCATTGACTGTCAGCCACAAACATACACACACTCCTAGCCCCCACCCCACATAACAAATGACTTAGGCAACAAACTTGCCTTCGTTCGGTTTTCGTTTTCATTTCGAGGCCCAGAAGTTGCTGTGCGCGGAAGCGAGACAGAACACTAGGGAGAGGCCAAGGACCTAGGCCAAGAATTAGAGAATCCCCTCCCCAAATCCCCCCTCGAAAAGTGAATCTGCCGCTTCAGCTAGCAGCAGCAGCCGCAGCAGAAGAAGAAGCCAATGACCAGGAGGGGAAACCAGTTCAGATCGGCTCATCCTTGGGCCAGGGGCACGGCTTGAGTTTGGGGCAGGTTGCAACAGCCAGCTCCTCTATCTCAGCCACCTCCTCCTGATTCCCGGATCCCCGGATCACCCCCAATGGTACTGGCATCGTACATTGGGAATCATTTGCCGTGAAAAGGGCGTTCAACTGGCAAATGCTCATGGGCACATGGCGTGCTCAACTGAAGCAAGCCAAAGGTTCTTGCACTCAGCCAGTTCTTCTGCTTCTGCACTGGAAACAAGAGATTAACAAGTGCTCTATTTAGAAGAGCAAATAAAAGAATTAAAATCGGGAATAGAACATACGATTCACAAATTTACCCAGCTATTTGGTAGTCGTTTATGATACTGATCTTTCACTGACTGAGCAAAGTTAGAATGGACTTAATCGTTCAGTTGTACTCAGGTTTCTGATACGGCTAGATTTGTCTAACAAAAGAATCTTTTAGGGAGTTACAAATATTGAATTATGGATAGATTTCAAGTTAGGGTATATAAGAAATCAATGTATTGAAATATCAGTTATAAGTTTTTTCTCCGGTGTTCTTATGCCCGGTTCTTTGCCACTTCTAAGGCCTGATGAAAAGGGAATCAAATCACTCTTACTCTTGGCCAGCTTTTTTTTATTTGCTTGAGCCAGGGTTATTGACTCGCTCGTGGTCTTACCTTGGGCGGTTCTTCCTGCCTTTTGCTTTCTGCTGGAGCTGCATCTTCGTTTGAAATTGTTGCCACCTTGGCCACTTGCCACGCACAAGAGGATGAGGCTGAGGGAGCGGGAAAAGAGGAGCTGCCAAGTCATCCGCGGCAGCTTCCCAGGCAACATACAAAATTAATAAGAGCCTTAAGAGAGACGACAAAGAGAACGCCGACGCACAGGTGGGACCGGGACCTACAGGTAGAAAGAAAGAGCGAACCAGGAAGAAAGTGTGGCCAAGCAAAAGAATGGAGCGAAAGAAGTGGTAGCGCAGCAGCAGATGAAAAGAAAACAAGTTCAATGACCGACCTACTCAAGCGCGTTATAACCAAAGCGCGCACACACACACACATGCACACACATACGCACTGCGGAGAGAGGAGAGAGCACATGCGCATGCGCACAGCTCCAACTCGAAAGCCGAAGCCGAAGCCAAGCCGAAGTTAAGTGCCGAAGCCGAGTTACGAACCTCTCTTGACGTTGAACTTTGGTGCGACAGGTTCTATGTCAATGTTGTTGTTTTGTTGCCTTTGTCGCCCTTGTTGTTGCTGCTTTGACACTATCGTGCTTAGCTGTAAATGCCCACATTGTTGTTATTGTTTGCAGTGCATAGACTGTGACATTGAACACTCCGCAAAAAAGTATCAAAAACTTGATAAAATTGTAAAAAAAAAGATAATATACAGTAGTTCTCTGGATATGACTTTAACATGAAAACTTTGTATTTTTATAAATACGTTGAAAATCCATTTCTGTCAGTGCATTGATGATCATTGATCGTCAGATAAAACACTGAGCGGATATAATAGGAACGGGGGTGTTGGAGCTGTCCAACTATTTGTTTAGGCCCCTCTCTTTGGAGCTGGAAACCAAATTATGCTCATTTACGCGCCATGAATACGTAATCCCCCAATTTACCGGCCCCTCGTAATTTGACTATGACAAAATGGCTTTTTATTAACCTAACGGTACATTCACCGGCTGTACTCCACCTATTACTATTCGGTTTTACAGTTTTATGTCGCTGGCCATTAAAACAACGTGCTTGGCGTTCCTTATGACTATTTCGTTGGCGGCCAGATTCACAAAGACACCGCCGAAATGAACTCTGAAGAGGTCTATTCTGCAAGCTCATTCGAATAGTTTTGCATAATGTCCGTGGCACCGAGACTTCCGGCTTAAGCTCTAGTTCATTGTCAACGGTCAATTTGCAATTTGCAATTTGGGTAGCACAACCCCCACAGTGAGGGAGACAGAGCATGCGTTGCGAGAGAAGAGAGCGAATTTGGGTTAGAAGAGAGTGCGGCGAGAGATGCAGTGAGAGCCATGCAACGTCTGCAATGCACTTTAAAAAACGGGGACTGAGCTTATGGCAATTATTAATATCATGTTAAAAATGTAGTTTAGGGCTTTGAAGAAGGCATTTAAGTGCTGCATAGTTTAGTTCATAAGTCCGGATTCCCTAATAATTATGTAGGAAATCTTCTAAGTTCCTAAGTTTCAAACCTTTAGAACACTTACCTTATTAGGTGCTAAAATCATCTAAGAGATATGATTCAACTTTCCCGACTTAGCAAAAATGTGGTCCTAGACCAGCAAATCCTTCGCATGACCTAACCCAATATGTTTTGTGTTCCAAAGTAAACTCTTGCTGTGGGTTTTCACGGCCCAGAGCAGAACGAGCTGCACAGTGCCAGAGATCCACCCTCTATATGCTTAGAGCCCGAACTTACAAAAAAAAAGCCCGATGTTGGCCGAGTCCGCAAGCGAAGCTCTGCTGAAAAGGGCCGCCCGCCCTTGCTGCGCTGCTGCCGCTGCCGCTGCCGTTCGGGCCCTGTTGTTGTTATTGTTTCGCACTGGGCGAGTTCAGTTGATGCCAAGTGCAAGTGCCAATAGCAATGGCCTCCACCCCACCGCACACACACCGAACAGCCCTAGCAGCCCGCTTAGCCCCTGAGAGCCACCCAGAACCACCGTGTTTACTGTCTGCAGTCGGCGGGCAGAGAAGCCGGCGTTGCAGCCAACTTCGCTGCCGCATTTGGCTGAAATCGAAGGGAGCTGGCAGCTTTTGCAGCTGCTCGTTATTTCAGTCCTGACTCGGGATGTTAACGCGTTGGGCAGGTCATGTCTCATGGCACAGCCGCGTTGCGTGGACCAAAGAACGGCAGAGAAAATCAGCAGGACATCCCGTGCACTGAGTTATATACATAAATAATTATATATATTATAGCTACAAGCTAAGGCCAATGCCACAAATGTGTTCAATCAGCAAACGAGAAGCGTTAAGAATAGCGTACATCGAGTGCTCCAGTGCTTGAGTGCGTTAGTTAAGTGTTAAGCTCGCCCTAAGTCAATGTATCTAATCAAGTATCCCGAGATACCA